TGAATAGGAATTCACATTTGTTTCTTTTATCTTACAGCACAGTCGTTGACTTTCTCTCTTTGTCCCCGTAGCATCGAGACAGTGGAGGACATGATTAAAATGGGTGTATACGTGAACGATCTGAATCTGCACGACTCCAGCAGAGAGCTGATTTTGGCCGGGACACAGCAGTCGGCTGAGCTGCAGCTGGCTCTCGATCAGGTGAAAGGAACCAAAAAAAAAAGAGACCATAAGTGTCCAGAAAGAGAATGTCTCACGAACAGAAAATGGCTAACACTGAACAAAAAACACTTGAAGATTTAGTTGTTAAAATCTAAGAGCGTACTTTTTTTGTATTGTGTATCCGGTCATTATTTTAACCTTCTACAATAGGTGCACTGCATGTTTGAATTTTGAAAAGCAGTGCACCAGGTGAAGCCTGGTAAAATGAAAAAGAAAAAAAAACAGCTCTGCTCCCCTGTAGATTTTAACCAGTAAATCTAATTAAGTCGTGTAGAAAAGATGTGGATTAAGGGATTGAAAAAGCAAATATTATGGCTTTTGCTCTTATGGAGGTAAGACTGTAACTGCAGCCCCATCCCTGTCCTGTTTCCACTCCTGTAGGAGCAACAAAAATATGCTCAGCTGCAGGAAATCATCAAAAAGCTGGACGAGGAGAAGAAGAGAGGAGACTCTCTGCTGTACGCCATGATCCCTAAAGCTGTGGCCGACCGCCTCAGGAAGGGGATCACGGCACTGGAGACCTGCCAGGTATCAGCCAGTGGGATTTTTTTTTTTTTCACAGGGACGGAGAGGTTCTCTCAAACCACACGCTGTTACAGCATCAGGGTCTTTGAAATTATTCAGCATTTTTTTTTTCCAAGGCTCTGAAGTTATGCTAAAATGAGGCAGGCAATTCACTTAGGGGAGGAACATGTTCTGAATCTGAAGTAGATTGGTCTACAGGTCACCAGTATTTTCATAACCTAAAATACAAAAACTATCTTCATGGGGAAGCAGTTTTAATAAAGCAAAGAATATCACGACCAACTGCTTCTCTTGAATAGATTAACATAAACGCATCA